TTCTCTGAGAAAGGGTTCTGAATTGTACTCGTGTGTAGCTTCTTTTGAACACTTCTGGGCCTGCCACAGTCATGATCATCCATAACCATTAGCAATAGGATAGATCAGCTCTAGCCAGATTTTGACAGCTATACGCGGATTACTGTTGTCTGTCCTAACAACGGCGTATGCACGACACCATGTCTGAGCGTAGTGCTTGCCGTTCGACTCCGGTTGGCCTGCCGTACACGCCATCAGGGCACAAGTCGAGATAAGGCGACCGTTGGACTCGCAAGCTGCATCAGGGAACTCTCCAATGGCCATCCCTTCTAGTACACCCCAGTCTTTCGCACATTGACGATCATTGTAAGTTGTAGAATATGCTACACAGAGGTGCAGAGGCGCTGCACGTCTCGGCACAAACCCGGTGGAATAAATGGTTAAACTGCCAAGCAAGCAGTGGTTGAATACAGGAGGCGTAGTAGCGTTATCTTCTGCCTGAATCGTGTAGATGTCAAATTGAGAAGGTCTGGAGCTTTGGAGGCGTGGTGGTGCAGGCAGATATGGAATACATGCGGGCGACTACGTGGACTGTCGCAGGTCGCTTAGTAGAGAAAAACGGAGATAAGGTAGCAGATAGCGTCACCTGAGACCGAAGGAAGCCTCGGAAGATTTTCGTCTGTCAGCTCCGCCAGCAGCCCGCGCATCTTTTCTTCATCACACCATGGCGCCAGCGACGACTCCTTCGTTCCTACGCAACCAGGCTATCTTCGGCTTACCCTCACTGAAGACACATACAGGGGCGCGGATCCGCCTGCGGCCTGTCCTCACCCCCGCATGATGCGAGGCACGCGCCTCATCACCGGCTAGATTCCCCAGGAACGTTCATCGAAAAGCAAATTAGTACCACATGGCACTGGCATTGGCGTTGAGTGAGCGCGGCCTTGTTATGCAAGGCCAATTGTGTACTCAGCATGAGCAGAAAAACTGGCCCTATAGCATAACGTGCTTCTGCGACGTGTAGGGGTCGCGTCATCCCCTTACTCCATGCGGCGTTGGCTTGGTCAGAAACATCCCACGAGATCTAACCAGAGAGCATTCTAGCTACACCAACGTGGTGGGTTTTACTAACTCTCGCTCCACTCATCTCAGCATCTAGCGCTTGCGCACCGACTGACTTGTGAGGACCCGCATGTCGTCCGGCTTGCAAAGAGCGGGTATGCATGCTGAGATTTCGTATCCCAGTTTTCTACAGCTATGCACGGCTCTAAGAGGTTGAGCTTGCTTCACGCGCCTCTTCGCGTCGCTTCTATCTCGGATTACTTATTCCTAGTCGGACTGGTCAGGCCTGCTGAGTGCCCTTGGACCGAGGCGCGTCGTCCTTGCCGAAAGGCTATACCTTCCCTTCTTAAGTCCAAAAGAATTCAGTCTGGCTCCATCTGTTTCTCCTTCCGCTACGAATCGCTGAGCTCTCCACCCTGCCGCGTCAAACAGCATAACCTTTTGCCAAGTTATCTTGATAGTCGCCCAAGAGGTCGAAAACGTAGAGACTGCCAAGCCAACTTGACCTGTCTCAACATCCCTAAAACCTTTCTGGAACCAAAACACACAGACCTCTCCATCTACGGAGACCCCAGATCCACGAGCAGCCCGTTCCCACTGGCGGACAAGAATTGCCAAGTACATTTGAACCCACAATCAGCCTCAAATTGCGTCGATCATACACGTACCATTGTACACGCAGCCGGACGCTTACGCACGCGAAACAAGTGTCTTCTGCAGTCTTATCAATCCACGGACGAACCGCGCCATCTAAAGCGGAACATCATTAGTGCACCGGACCCATACGATCGCCAGGGTCAATTACAGCTCCACGGCCAAGACCCAGCGCGGAAGCATCTGCAACATCCCGCGCTGCAACCCCAGGCCTCCTCTCGATTTTTGGCTCCAGCTCTTTTATGCTAGACGAAGCTAGACACGTTTAAACTACGCACTAGGCAGGATACACCGGAGACTCAAGCGCGTCGGACCTTTACTTTTGGCAGATCATCAAAACGCTCCAGCCAGTTACAGAGGTCACTTGACACACGCGAGCCCCGGCGGAACTTGCTTGGCAGCGTTACCCACGGTACCCACGCACAACACCGAACTTGAGAACTTTCACAATTGATAATCTCTCGGGCAACATATAAGAAGTGCCGACCACCTTCTGTCGTCCTCCAGAACACCCACATTACCTCTCCATAAAACAAAACTTTCCAACCAACACCATCACCTCCAACCAACGCCTCACCACCCACAAACCAACAACCAACACCCAATCTGGCGCAATGTCTTCCACTAGCTCAACCTACCACATTCCCTTCCCGAAAAACTTTCTCACTGTCAACACTCCCGTCAAGAAGGCAGCCAGCCCCAGTATTCAATCTCCCACCGAGCCCGTCGTGCCTGCTCACGGGTTTCTATCCAACCGCCCCGCGCGCCACCAGTCCATTTCCTCCGTCTCCAGCATCACCAGCAGCGTTGCCGCCCCACCCTCCGAGACTAGTACTATCAGCGCGCCATCTTCTCCCGCCACAAAGGCTGCCGATTCACCAGTCCTTGGTCTTAAGATTTTCGCTCCTCTTGCGGTTAATGCAAAGCATGCGCTTCCGCCGACCTCTTCCTCGGAGATGAGTGCCGCTGAGAGGCAGAGGCGCATGAGCTTTGAGAAGCACACTTTCTTGTCCAACAAGCACTGAGTGTGGACGATCGATATCTCTATCAGATGGAGTTGCACGGAGCAACACCCTATACGCCTTTGACAGCGATCCAGCATCATGGAGCAGCGACAGGAGTTCTGGTCGGGCGTTAACGATGTCATGACTTTCCTTTTTTCTCTCTCATACAAAAGTCGATATACCACAAAAGATCCCTCACGGCCGTTAAGGGTATGGATGGGGGTGGGCATGGGCAGGCGTTTACTTTTTTGGGGGGTTGACTTGCCGCCGGGAACAGGCAGGCAGTACAGTACATTGAACAGTACAAGCCACATTACCATGAATTCAAACAACGTAACAACTTGCGCTTGCTTCTCAGGCTGTTCTTTCGCAATGTGGTATCGTGGTAATGTCGAGGGCTGCGGATACCTCATACGGTAAAGCGGTTTCACGATAATAGCCGTCAGAGCAACCACGACTGTTCCCCCACATCTCTCACACTAAGCCTGCGTATTGTATGGCAGCTCACAACTTGCATCTCGTAATAATGTCTTCTTCCCCCCCCCCCCACTAATCACTCGTGTTTTCGCATGTCATTTCCTGAAGCGGACATTACATCACATGCGCAGACTAGCTTGTCAATTTGAGTTTCCGCCCCGCCCCTTCCCCCGCTGACACGACGGAGTTTGTGTTCAGTGTATGCGATTATTTCTGATGCACCGTAAAAGTATTTATTAAGTAGCGTTGCGAAGGGGAAGAGGGAAGGAAGCACGTGGGCTTTTCATTGGTCGAGAGTAATTGGGAACGACCACGTTTAATTATTTGTGACGAGTATTCCTAATGCTGACACAACTCGCTCCCTTCTCTATGTGAGATGTCGAGCTCTGCATACCTCTGACCAAGGAGAAGTGTATTAAGTTCTCTAAGTCAAATATCGCCATCGCCACAACCGAGATACCAAGCCCAAACATCTTCCCAGCACTGCCAAACAATCACATGATCCCAAACACCCTTCCAAGTTTCCCCATCCCTTCCCCAACCAAACCGCCCACTCGCACCCCAGGCTAGACTAAAACCACCGCTGCGCAACAATCCCACATACTAGAATCACACACACACCGACTAGCATTTCTTTGTGAAGCTTATTGCACTCATTACACTTTTGCGCAAATGCGCACGCAACAAAGAGAGAGGGCCGCGCGGTTTTCGGCACGTTGCGGCGCGACTATTTCGGGTTATATTGATTACATACAATTGTGATGACGGGGTTTTGACGAACAGGGTGTAAGGTTGGTTGGTTTTGTTGCGCGAAAGGAAGGAAGGGAGGATAAAGCCACCAATCAACGTTTGCGAAATCCGAGTTCGGTATCCGGGTGCCTTTTTCTATGACTGGGATTTGTTGTGTTAAATATGGAAGATGTGAGTTGGTGTTGGCAACAAGTGCTTGAGTGCTGAGCGCGCGCATTGTTACTTGAACCACTTCACGAGACTGCGAAACTACCGTGGATCATACTAGTCATTATTTGCACTTCAATATCATCTGTATTGGTATTCGAAAATGGTGGCGTACATTATATCTGCGCGAACGCTATATCAGGGGGGGCCATGAAGAAACCGTACCGTCGCACAAGGGCCGTCGTAGTGATGAGTCGATAAAACTGTCGAGAGTTCCTCCTCCGTTATTTGACCATGACGCGAGAGACAGAGAAAAGTAAAAAAATGATGTGATCGAATAAGACACAAATAAAAGGCATATCGTAAAAGAGAGACTATATAGCATACAAGTCCTCTCTCCTCGCGGGCGAAACCCCGTTACTGATGGGGAGGGAAATTCGGAATGGGGGTGCGCATTCAACTTTTTTTCCTCTCTGGCCTCTCTCCTCCGGCTTATCTCTCTCAGTCCATAGTGACATATTGGGATAAAGGGAAAAAGAACAGCGAGATTTCGGGGGAGGTAAAAGGGCAACCAAGGTTCAGCAAATCGAAGAAATCCGACCCCGCAGAGAGAAGTTATGTTCCGATGAAAACAGGCCCATTATCCAAGACAAGAAGGAAGGAGCAGGTCCCAGGGAATCTTTAAACGCCAAAAACACCAATGCTGCGCTCTTTGTATGATAGCTAGAGGCAATGATATCTCCCAAAGTTCCCGTTTCGTGACCGAGGATGTGCATCATGAATGGCACGATCGGGAGTAATGATCGTAAAGGGCTCGTGTATTATGTAAATGTATGGGTATGGCGGAAGGAGGAAGCTGAGCATGTCGGAGCACTCATAGTTCGTATGCGTGGCCGTCAAGAGTTGGGGTCGGTGCTGCGTAGACTATCATAGTATGCCGGAGTCCTTTAGCGCGTTCTGCAGTATTGTTTCCTTGACAGCGGCAAAGACGAGCCGGATGTTGGATGTATCGGTGGCTTGTGTTAGGCTAATAAGGTCAGCATGCGTGAGGGGCTCGTGAGGGGAAGCTTCTTACTGAGGGTACAGGTTCAAGTGTGCTCGGTTGACCTGGTTGAACCTCCACAACAGGTACTTGGCGGCGCGATTGACATCATTCCCACCAGAGTAATCTGGAAAGTAATTGCCAAGTGGCGATCGCGCAAGCTTCGCTTTGAACAGATCGACCTTGTTGAGGAACAGGATAATACTGGTTCTCATGAACCACCGGCTATTGACTACCGAGTCGAAGAGCACTAAGCTCTCCATCATTCGGTTCTGCAGGCACGAGTCAGTGGGAGTCAAGGAGCTCGACGTAATGACATACCTGTGAGCTTTCTTCTAACAGGACTTGATCGTATTCGCTCAATGCCACGCAGAAGATGATTGATGTGACGTTTTCGAAACAGTGTATCCATTTCTTGCGCTCGCTCCGTTGGCCCCCTACGTCGAACATGCTGTTTCATGTTAGCCTGACAACCACAGCACGGTTTGAAGGGGCGCACATACTGTATGCTGAGCTGGCCCATCGTAAATCGTGTTTCGTATATACCGGTGGTCTTGGTACGCGCTCGTAGGACGTCGGATTCGATGGGTACATAATTGGGGTCGGATATCCGTTCTACCTCATCGAAGAAGCTGCAAACGTTAGTAAGAAACGGGGAGATGATGCGCAAACATACTATGGCGCAGAGTCCATGAGGTAGAACTCGCTCGAGTGCTCCAGGACTTTGCCGACGCATGGGTCGCTCCACATGGATGTGATGGCCTGGCCTACCCGTACATCGAGGGGCTTCTCAGGGTCGGGGTCGACTGTGTAGTCGAGCAGGTAGTCGCAGAGTTGGGCGTTGCCTGGCTTCTCGGGGCTAACGTCGAATTGTCGCATGGCGCCAATGAGGGCTTTTGCGCAATCGATGACGTTTTTGTATATGGTCAGGCGGTACATGGCGAGCTCTTCCTGCGTGTAGCCGTTCTGATGTATGATCTTCATCTGCTTGACGATGGTCGACTTTCCGCTCTCTCCGGAGCCTGTAGGGTGTTAATGATTGCGTTGGCACGCAGACAGGCTGGAGCTACTCACCCAACAGCAGGATCTTGCATTCCCGCCGTAACCGTCGCGAGTCTTCCTCGAGCTTGCGGTCAATGGCCTGGCTGCGTTTCTTCTGCTCGACATCGTCGTTGTTGGTGCTCATGCAGATGCCCATAATGCCGGCGTGTGGTGCGGCTCGCGGCCGCGGGCGTTGGGGGGGAGTCGGGCGCGGGATAATGATGGAGCACGAGGCTCAGCGCGTCGCAGAACCGTCGGCGTGGAATGTGTGCGGTGATGCGAGCGAGGCTCTGGTCCGGATGGCGGCGTGACGGCTGGCGCGTTGCTGGAGCTGTGGTGACGCTTGGTCGGCTTAATCCGACACGCAGCTCCGTCAAAGGGGGCCTCGCGAGGTGAGCGGGCGCGGCAGCGTCGTCGCCAGCGTGGACGGCGGCAACAATGGGAGCGGGGTCGGGCTGGCGCGCGAGGACGGGCTGGGGTTTGGAATGCGACGGTGGTGGTGGTGTTGTATGGTTGGTAGGGTCGTCTTGGTGAGCTAGATCGGAGACTCCAGGGCTGCCAGTGGCTCGTGCGGAGGTGCCTTCCCCAGTAAGTTGATGAGGAAGGCGCGGGATCTGGAGAAGGTGCAACCAACAACAACGTCGCCCGGCGCCGACGGAGGGCCTGGGGGTATTGATTGCGGGAGGTGCGCGTGGCAAGAGGCGTGATGCAGATGCGTTGGCCCTTGTTCTCGCAGCGCAGAGCGTGAATCACGGATGGGTGATGGATGTGAAGGCGATGATGGCAGCAGGCGCGATGCTGCTAAGCCTCATCCAATCGTGGATGCTAGGGCAGCGATCAGGGTAAATGGCACGAGCCAAGCAGCGGAACAGGACGCGCTGAAGCGAGGCAGAATGCAATAGTGCTGGCGGATGCTGGCAGTGGGGATGCGCTGCGCTGCGATGCAAGGCAATGGAGGTGTTGGTGCCCTAACAACGCTCGAGGCCGTGTGCTACCTAGGTACGCCGTCGTGCCATGGAGCGTGGCTGCCAGATCCGACCTGCCTCTATCATTGGCAGATTGGCCGTGTGCTTCAAGAGCTCGGCTTACGACCCGCGGCTTTCCAACACTGCCCTCACGGCGGCCCCCTTGATACAACGGCCCCTGCACTACGCGCTGCAGCTGTGCCTCCAAACGTCTATATACAGTACCTGCAGTCTGCACTCTGCGGTGCTACACCTCTGTTGGCTTCACGATGTCTCCCCCGTCCAATCGACCCACCGCCCCGATCAGCTCAGCCCCCAATCTTGGAGGGTCTCAATCTGGAACGCCTCCACGATAGAGTTTACCTCGTCGCCCAGCCAGCGCCAACTCCACCTGAATGACATGCAACGGCGTTTTCAAGTTAGACATGTCCGTGGGGCTGGTCCCCCCAATGTAAAGGCTTCTAATTTAAGCCGGGTACTTTTATCAAATGGCCCTGACTGAAGTTGAATGCGAGCCTCCTGCCACACACTGGTTCTGGTTACTGGTCACTGGCTAGCTGTGAAGGACGCTAGCTGAAAGCTGACCAGCTCCCACCTTTGCGGACAATGGACCTGGGACATGTTTTGATGTCGTGCATTATCATTGTGTCTGTTCGGGAACGTCAAACAGACAGATTCACCAGGGCCACATGTCAGCAATCGCTTGCACGTTTCGTGTGGTAGTGACCCTGTTCCGTGATAGCCGCAGCATACCATTCACACACGGTCGGCGCGAGCCGCAAACGAAGCATTACGCAATGCCATATCAGGGATGCCACGAGGGCTGGCAATCGGCCCTTGAGCCAGGTACCGCCGTGGATAGTGAAAAGTTCAAAGACGTTTGTGTTCTGGCCTGCATCCACGGCACCGCGGCATCACGGCATCGACGTATCAAGACATCCGCGTATCAACGTGTTGAATCAACGTGTTGACGTGCACGCGACGTAGACGATAGCGCAGCCCGCGCGTTGCCCAGGTGTTCAACAAAGCCGTGTCTCTCATTGTGGCCTACCTTCCTCATGATTTGATCAGTAATGGGTAGATATGATATCAGCAGGGAGACCCGGCGCAGGTTCTACACCCAGGGAAGGTCTAGCTGCCCAGACATGGTGTCTGCCCGTACCGTGTCAGAACGAGCAGGTAAGACAGCTGCATGTCACCGTTCAGGGCAGCCAACGTAGCGCACGGGCCACCTCCCACGTGAAAGGAGGGGTGAAGGGGAGTGAATACGGAAAGAGCTTCGAGGTGGTAGTGGGGTACATGGACGAGACAACAGACGTCGTGGTGATGGCGCATCGCAATCTTCAGCGTGTCCAGTAGAACCCGGTAAAGGCCTGCGCTAGGTGTGAAGCACAGGCTGCAATGGAAAACTCGAAAATCCATCGTGACGTCACCAGAAGAAGCCGAAACCTGTGTGAGCGACACTTGTGCGCGGGCCATGTGCATGTGTCCCTCTATCGCATTTGGTGCCTGCCCCTCGTTGTCTTCTTACCTTCACCTCTTCCTTTCCGCACTGATCTGCATCCTCGCCACGCCCTCGAGCCTCATCCTTGTGTTGCACATAGTCTGAGGTCATCCCGTCGGTGCCTCAATCCTCTCCGCCGACCCGCTTACTGTCAACATTGGTCTCCAAGCGGCAATCAGCAACCCCAACGTGTCCCAGCCGTCGACGCTCGCGACATTCCTGGTGCAAACTCTGAAGCCTTCGAAAAGGATTCCTCGGAGCCGTTGTCGCGCAAGCCCTTCGTTGCCGGACCCAGCCACCGAGCCCAATAGAACCTGCCCTGATCTAGCAGCGTCAACGTGCAACTAGAGCCCCGACGCATTCGCGACTACCCCACGGCTTCCTACTCGCCCTCTTCCACCACCACCACCCCAATTTTCGACACAGACCCGTCCTTGCGCCTGTCGCATCATCATAATCACCTTCCTTCACCATGGCGGAATTCGTACGCGCCCAGATTTTTGGCACCACTTTCGAGATTACCAGCAGGTGCGGATATACCCCACATTGCGTTTTCTGGCACAACTGACACCGACCAGGTACACCGACCTGCAGCCCGTGGGCATGGGCGCCTTTGGTCTCGTCTGGTACGACCTCCACACCACCAGACTCGAATTGATTGTTGACTCCGGCGCAGCTCAGCCAAGGACCAGCTTACTAGCCAGGCGGTGGCCATCAAGAAGATCATGAAGCCCTTCAGCACTCCGGTCCTGTCGAAGCGGACATACCGCGAGCTGAAGCTTCTGAAGCATCTTCGACACGAGAATGTGGGCAATGCAGCAGCCAGTCCCCAGCGAAAACTCTAACACTCTCCAGATCATCAGCCTGAGCGACATCTTCATCTCTCCCCTCGAGGATATGTAGGCAGTCACATCACCGCCAACCCGAGCAAGCACTAATCCGCCCAGCTACTTCGTCACCGAGCTCCTCGGAACCGATCTCCACCGCCTGCTCACCTCCAGACCGCTGGAGAAGCAGTTCATCCAATACTTCCTGTACCAGATTTTGGTGGGTGGCAAAATTCCAACCATGCAAGAAAATGCGCTGACCTGAAAAGCGTGGTCTGAAATACGTCCACTCCGCTGGTGTCGTGCACCGCGACTTGAAGCCCAGCAACATCCTCGTCAACGAGAACTGCGATCTCAAGATTTGCGACTTCGGTCTCGCCCGTATACAGGACCCTCAGATGACGGGTTACGTCTCTACCCGATACTACCGAGCGCCTGAGATCATGCTCACATGGCAAAAGTACGACGTCGAGGTTGATATCTGGAGTGCGGGCTGCATCTTCGCTGAGATGCTCGAGGGCAAGCCGCTCTTCCCCGGCAAGGACCACGTGAACCAGTTCTCCATCATCACCGAGCTTCTGGGTACTCCCCCAGACGATGTGATCCAGACCATTTGCAGTGAAAACGTAAGTAGATGCACAAAACCTTGGAAGCAACTTTGCTGATTTCCGCAGACACTGCGATTCGTCCAGTCACTTCCCAAGCGCGAACGACAACCCCTCTCCAACAAGTTCAAGAACGCCGAGCCTCAAGGTCAGTTTGCAGCTTCAATGAAGAGAGCGTGGACTGACATTATCTAGCCGTCGATCTCCTAGAGAACATGTTGGTCTTTGACCCGAAGAAGCGTGTGCGAGCGGAGCAGGCCCTTGCCCACCCATACCTCGCTCCATACCACGACCCGACTGATGAGCCAGTCGCGGAGGAGAAGTTCGACTGGTCGTTCAACGACGCAGATCTACCCGTCGACACCTGGAAAATCATGATGTACGTGTACTCCCAGTGCATCACGTAAACGGAGCTAACACAACACAGGTACTCTGAAATCCTGGACTACCACAACGTAGATGCGGCGGCACAGGAGGAGAACAACGGCAGCTAAATACACATAATGTCTACCAATCTCGAGCTACAACAATTTTCAGTCTCCACGACAACAAAGTATGCAGTTGCCGAGGCTCGACGTATCATCTGCCTGGCGCAGGCGGAGTTGCTGTTCCCAATGATTCCCAAGGTCTCGTCTGTTGGACCTATGTGACATGAAGGTGCGCGGTAGATGGGGCATGGGCTTGTCTTTGTCATTTGGATCGCCATGGCTGGTACACGAAAGGAATGTTATGGAGGAATTGAAGGCTATGGTCGACCTAGGTAGGAATGTGAAATCATGTTATCAAACATACGTTATTCTTCACTTTGACTCATGAACATGTCTGATTATATTGTATTTCAATGCGATGACAGCATTCGTCGCTAACGGGCCTGGCATCGCAGGTACTCAAGATAAAGACTGCATGATGTAAAGGGGAGATCAGAAAGTCCTCCAGATCTTCTCTGGTATCCGTGGCGGAGGATCTCGGGCGTACTCCCAAACCCGGGAACGGGTGGAGATCGCCGAGGCTTTCCACTAGCGCCATAAGGCTGATTGAGGGACCGCTGTTTCGTCACCGCTCTGAGCGCGTCCGCAACGACTCGAGGACGCGAGCCTGGCCCCTATGGCCCTACAACATTTGTTTGTATTTAAACTGAATGCTATGCGATAGCACTTCTATCGCACGACAATGGCGACTCTCAACCCACTTGTCTGCGTCGTGGACTTCCACCATGCGCGGTAAGCTTCTCCTTTACCAGTAGAGGTGTGAGTACA